GACAGTGTTAACACCCTTCCTGAAGGTTGGCGTGCTGTCTTCGATCATTCTAGTGACAATTTGGACAGAGATGGATAGCATTTGTCAGTTTACCACGCCGGTGGATGAACATCTAGTCCATGTCGAGACTCGCTGCCTCAACCCGACAATCCGACCCATGGGTTGCTCCGCCCATGGGCACCCGACCTGAATGGGTAGGGTATGGATTGTCGACTTAACCCATGGGTAACCCGATTAGTCGTGGGTAGGGTATGGGTTCAAGTTTATGCCAGTGGGTCACCCGATTAGTATTAATAACTAAATAAATAATTTATTCTCCATTATATTAAAGTTTTTATTCTAAACACACTAACATATAATGTGTCACTAGCAGCGATCATCAAAAAAGAACGTGGCACCAGTAGCTGGGCCCATACGAGAGCACAACCATCAGGTCTTTTCTCACTTCTCAATCACATGTCTGGTTTGGCCCAATTCTAAGTTCAGGTTGGCCCATGCAAAGCAAAATTGTTGAATGCATGCTGTAGTACACAGCGACGCACAGATGCATTGGCCCACAAGCCTGCGTAGCGTAACACAAGTGCTACAATTCTTTAGTCCCACCTCACCTATTGGAACCAGTACATGGGAAGGGGAGATCCGCCTAGACATGAACACAAGTGCTACAATTCTTTAGCTAGTGCTTGATCACCACTAGCTACTGCGCTGCGTCCGCTACCCGCGACCTACAACGTACAACTTTGTCAGACCGGTCTAGATTTGGACCCATGGGTAGGGTCATGGGTGTAGGATAGACCCGATAGTATGATGGGCATGGGTTTGGTTGAGGTCCACCTGACCAAACCTGACCCGACTGCCTGGTTGACCGGTGCCACACTGATATACGTAGCAAAATCACAGTGCCAGAAAAGGTGGACCCCCGTTTCCAGATTGCTAAGCCAGCATCGGCAGAAGTAATTGTTTGGTTACCCTCTCCTCTGTACGCGATCATTGCAGCAGATCCCCTGTTGTAACATCAGCCAACCGAAGATCTTAATCTCCCCACGAGCCTAAGTGTTCCATAGGATTTTGTTGTGTGGTGATCTGATCTTGCCAATGAACTGTGTACTATAGGCCGAGGCGGTCGTGTAGTTGCCTGAAGCTGTGCCCTTCCAGGAATCCAGGTGATTGCATTAGGGACCTCCTGCTGGAGCTGCACCGCGGTGAGTCTGAGGCATCTTAAGCTAAGAAATTGGGCAGGATGGCAGAGGGGTTGCCATGGCGAGGTCGCGGATCTAGGCGGCGGCTGACAAGGCAGCCTTCACCGTTCTGTGCTCTTCTTGCATGCGCATACAGGGTCAAGAAGGAGGAGCGCCGGGTATTTGAGCCAGGCCACGCGCAGTGAATTTTTGTCAAAAAGAACCACATGCGCGAACGAATTGCCAAAAATAACCACCTGCAAAATAATTTGACAAAAAAGACCCCCTCGGCCGTGGCGGCAGGCCCGGCAGGCGACACGTGGCACCTGCCGCCACGGCACGAGGCGGCCGCACCTGCCGCCATCGGGCAAGGCCGCAGGCTGCCTGCAACGGGAATTCTGGCCGAGCGACGGAACAGGCTGGCGTGGCGGGCCCGGCCGCCACCTGGCATGGTGGCAGTACTTTAGCCGCTGGGACCGGCCGGGAAAAAAAATTCTATGAGACCAGGTCTCACGGATTAGCAGGTGAGACCCATCCTGATGAATGACACGTGGCATTCATAAATCACAAAGCATCTATCCCACCCCCTACCTAAAATCAGGGGGGAGAGATTAGATACTTTGTGATTTGTGAATGCCACATGTCATGCATCAGGGCGGGTCTCACCTGATTTATATGAGACCTGGTCTCATATAATTTTTTTCCGGACCGGCCGCCTCGTCCCATGGCGACTGTACTGTTCCCGCACTGTGGGTGTGCAATCGAGCGGTATAGACCAAGGAAATGGCCAGTGATCGATATTACCGAGCCAGCCACGCACACCCAAATGCACGCATTAATTACTTTGGATGTAATAGTCATGTATGAGGACGACCTAGCTAAAAAAACTATCACTATTTGGATCACCAGCTAGCTCTCTCTTTCGCGTCGACGCAGGTAGGGACAGCAGCTAGTTCGCTTAGCAGACTATTGATCTGTAGTACTTGTATAAATTTTTAATCGGGGCCGACGACACGGATCTACGCCGTAACAGCTGACACAGCGAGGTGCCAGAAAATTAAGCATCCACCGCGCGCGGTTCCTATCGCCATGATTGCGGCCGAGTGTGTCTAGATTAACAGAATTGAGCGAGCTAGCGACAAGAGCGCGGGAACAGTACTGCTGCCATGGGGCGAGGCGTCCGGTCCCAGCGGCTACAGTACTGCCACCATGCCAGGAGGCGGCCGGGTCCCGCCACACCAGCCCGTTCCGTCGCTCGGCCAGAATTCCGTTGCAAGCAGCCTGCCGCCTGGTCCGGTGGCGGTAGGTGCTGCCGCCTCGCAGCGTGGTGGCAGGTGCCACGTGTCACCTGTCGGGCCTGCCGCCACGGCCTAGGGGGTCTTTTTTGTCAAATTCTTTCGTAGGTGGTCTTTTTTGGCAATTCGTTCACGCAGATGGTCCTTTTCGACAAAAAATCACGCGCAGTTCCAGAAAGAGGCAGTCTATCAATCTCGACTTTTACTACTGTACCATATTGTCACTTCATGTATTTACGTATCTGTATAATCCTCATAGTACAAAGCTATGAACATATTTATTTGAGCTGGGTTAAGGGAATAGCGGCCGCGTCCCCCGCGTCGTCCCCCGCCCGGGCGGCTCGGGTGGAAACCCTAGCCCCCACCGCCGCCGGGCGCCTCCATCTTCCCCCTCCCCTCCGCCGCCGTTGGAGGAGGCCGCCGGGCAAAGCCTCGGGCGGCTGACGGCGGCGGCGGAGGCCCTCTTCCCTCCTGTGTCGCATCGGGTGAGGCGGGTCTTCTGCGGCGCCAGGGCGCTCCGCCCAACGCGATGGCACGATCGTTCCTCCGACGACGGCGCAAGGTGGGGGGTGGTGACGGGCGGAGGCGGTGGAGCTGCGGGCTTCGTGGAAGATCTGGTGGTGTCGGTCGCTCAGAAGGCTTGCATGGCCATGGCGGCGGAGGTCGCAGTGGTCGGCGGTGGCGGAACAAGGCCGGTAGCAGCGGCGATGTTCTGTCTGGATCCCGGGGCGGCGGCCCTGGATGGTGGCGGCGGGTGAAGCTCGGGCTTCCTGCGGTGGCAATGGCGTGGTGCAGTCCCTATCCAAGGCGGATATGTGACGGTGATCTGATTGCGGATTGGTTCGGATCAGAGATGGTGACGAGCACACGGGATCCATCTCGGCGGCTATCGCGGTTTGGCGAGGTGGGGGTGGGAGCCCTCCTCCCAAGCTCCAGTGGTGGCACACTCTGGCAGTGGCCGGTGCACCAGGGCTCCTACGGTGGCATTGCTGTTGCGATTGGTCGCCGGATCTAGGTGGCTAGAACTGGGGCTTCGAAGGCGGTTGAGACGCTACACAGGTTGTGAGGTGGATTCCTTGGGACGGATCTGGGTGAAAACCTGGTATTCGGTCGTTGGCCGGAACCGGTGATGACGATGCCCTTATCATCGTTTCCTTCATGAAGGCATCATCGAGGTGAAACTCCCAACCCCACCCAATAGCTTCGAGGGAAACCCTAAATCAGTTGATCGGATGACGGCGGCATTCATGTGTCGTTACCCCCTTGGGGCGGCATTCTTGGAGATGCACTCAGCCTCGAGGGACCAGCGGTTGGCTTCTTCGGTGGAGCGGTGTTTCTTTCTACATATTCATGGCGGAGGTTCTTGGCGGCATGGAGCAGCGGAGGCTTGGCGTCAGATGTGTGGCGATGGACACGCGCAGGAGGTCGACGCTGTCTGGCGTCGTGGTGCCGTCGGCAGCAGCTAGACCGGGCAAGGTAGATGCAGCAGTACAATTCTAAAGATGGATTGGTGGCAGGTGGTTGCGGCGGCCTCATACCCGACAGGCGTCCTGGTTGAGGAGCACGCCGGACGATGGGTGTCCATACCCGGCAGACGTCCTAATTGGGACTTCAGGTCTTAGATGTTAGGTTTGACTGTGAGGTCTGTTTGGTATTAGGTCCAGACTATCAGCATCTCTTCATCAATTAGATAGAAGTAGCAACAGTTTGTTGCTTAGATGGTGGCTTCAGTCTTACTGTTGTATGACTTTGTGAGGTCTTGCGTGAATAATTAATAAAGTGACCGCATGCATCATTCAGATGCAGAGGCTGGGGTCCTCCATTTCTAAAAAAAATGAACATATTTATTTGTATAGAAAAATTGTCGCTTATCCTTTGCAATACCACGTCATTTGTAGAAATAACATTTTGCTGCTGGGACACATCAAGGTTGAGGTTTTGCTTTACAGATGGCATACAAAGCCATTAAGCTAACGACGCCAGCCAGCTAACAAAGCTGTCCCCATCATCTGACAACGGGCATCGCTATGACATTGGTGGCTTCTCTGGAACCAGGACGGCAGCTTTGGTGGCATCTTCGGTGCATGCAGGGACATCAACACCATGCATATATGACAATAATACAAAGTATTCATTGCAACTGCGATCTTTCCTGCAAGAAGCCCCTTTTTTTTTCCTCAAAATACCGGCAGGTAACTTTCAGAGGGAGATTTTCTTCAGTGATGGCATGTCAAATCAGACAAATGTCCCATTCTCCGTGGGCCTTGACTAACGACCAGCTCAGAGCATAATGATACGATAGAGTGAGACGAGATACTCTGCTCTTGCCAAATAATCTGAGAGTCCCAACTTACCAGCTAAGCTAAACACATCACAAATTTAACCCAACAAAAAAAGAAAGAACGAACTCTTTCCCTAAAGACACCTACTATCAATTTCCCTAAAAAAAAGACACCTACCGATTAATCATCCTGAAAAATTTCGTTTGAGCTACTAACATCTACGAGCCCTAATGTTGTGCAAGCTATCACATGGAGCTCGCGGAATCCGTCCAAGGAAAAATGCCTTGGCCCGGCCCAAGCACACGCACTGGGTCGTACCGGGCCTTGCGGGCCAGGAAGCGGTCCCAGCTGGGCCCGAAATGGCTGCGCCAATGCGCCTGCGTGGGCTGCCGGGCAAGGTACTGCTTGGCGCCGATGCCGCCGCCGACCCGGCACGCCTCGTCGGCCACCCGGCGGTGCTGCTCCAGGATCTCCTCGACGCAGCCGCGGCCGCACCGCGACGGGTCGGCCGACCGGAGCACGCTGAAGATGTACATCACCCCGTCCGGCGCCGACGGGATGACCGCCGACGTGTTCCTGTCCCACCTGAAAAAAAAATTCCCCAATGTTAGTAGGAGCAGACCAATCGCCAATTTACTACTACTACAAGTAGTAGAATTTTACACACGGATCAAAAGATGAGGGGTTCAATGTTCAGAAGTTGAAATTGGTCGTTTATGCTTGTTTGGTTTGGTTGATGGACACAAATAGAACGTGGAAACCCGTCCAAGAGTGGCAAGAAAAGTCCACTGGCGTGGTGGATCCCTCCTCTGGGGCATTGTAGATTTGCTGTCGAGAAAAGGTAAAACATCTCTTCATCACCCGGATCAGGTCAGGTCACAGAGGGTTTTGGATGCAGAGAACCTAATTGATAAGCATGCAGGTTGCGCCGTGCAGGCTTCCTCTGGTGCCGAACTGACACTGGATCTGCAAATAGTAACGATCCACAAAATTGGCCCTTACAAGCAGAGGCAGTACTCCGTTTCAAATGACCACATGACACATGCGAGCAAAACGAAAATTACTCGCTCGCGCCTGTGTTAGACTGTACACAAAGTAAGTGTACAGTACCATCGCTGTACACGGTGGGGAACCAGGATACTTGTATGGGACAGACAGGGGCGTCAAGGCGGGGAGAAGAAAGGCTTGGACCAGGACCGGAGAGGGGGACAAGCAACAGACCAGACCGTAGTAGCCGCCATAGGTGTGCACTTGGAAGCAGCGGAGATAATAGATACACAAGGAGGCCACCAAAGCCAAAAGCTGCAACTTGCAAGATACAGTACTGAAGACAGTATCATATCACAGTGCTGCTAGCCTGCTACAGCCGCAAAGGGTACGATGCAAGCCTATTAAATACTACTACGGTCTATGATGGTTTCCATACTGATTAAGGGCCCTTCTTGGTAAGTAGGCTCGTCCCGGTGTAATCTTTTTGCAATAGGTGGTTAACAACAGTAACAGACGAAGCAGAGCTGGTGAACGGTGAACTTCTGTAGGCTCACTAGTTTCACTGTATTTGATTTTGACGGTTGACGGGCAGATGCAGCGAGACCGCATGATCCGGTGTCGCAAAAGGAGGCAACCGCTACGGGGCTTGCATCTCCCTCTCGGCTGCTGTAGCGAGATGTCATGGCTCTGTCAGTAGTCACGATTGGGCCAAACGTGCCGCGCGTTAGGTTGGTCAGGCAAGTGTTTTTGGAGAGGATAACTACGACGCCCCCGAGCAGAAGAAAAAGATCGACCAAAAGCCACAAACATAACAGCACTTTGACACTAATTATGTGCGTACAAAGGTGATCTCGCCACATCATCCAATGATTTTCTGCACCCGAAAAATCTTGCAAATATTGCGAAAGGGATGGCTTTAGGCTCTATCATTGAGGTGAGTTTGTTAGTGAAGAAGCCTTTCGCTACTCAACTCTCTGCTCCTATATAGACGTTTTGGCAGTTCAACGAAGGAAGAAGGCAGTACTCCTTCCGTGAAGAAATATAAGAGTGTTTAGATCACTAACAGGTAACTGAGGGCTATGATATCTCGAGCTAACACTAATTCGGAACAGGAAATGGAGATGATTTATATACTTTTGCCAGCGGAGGATAGATGGATGTGCGTACTTGTCAGTGAGGAGAGGGTAGACAAGGATGGCCCCCTGGAAGTATCCTGCCAAGACGGTGTCCATGAGCAGGTCCTTGAGCTGAGCGACGCCATGCTTGGGCACGAACATGTTGAGCCAGGGGTGAGGCACGTCCCAGAGCCCCTGGCTCCTCAGGCTCTCCTCCTCCATCCTCACCCTGTTCAGGAAGTCGAAGTAGGACACCTCCACACTGTACATGTGGGGCCTCATGTGGCTCATCTTCCCTGCCACCAGCTCCACAACCTGCACAGTTTTTTTAAAGACCACAAGAAGACTAGCTCGTTAGTATTCGGCGGTCCTTTTCTGTTGCTGTTGAAGATGTTAACTTGCGTTTTTTATTTAAAATGGAAATCGAAAATTCTGTGTGAATTCAGGAGACTGACATTGTCGACACTGGAGCCGAAGTCATGCACTGCAAACTCTATGCAGTAGTAGACCTTCCTCTTGCCATTGGAGCCGAAGTCTGGGCTGAAATCGATGCGAGCGGGGAAGGCAATGGATGAGCTGTGGATGGAGTGCTCATCCAGAACCATGAACCCCTCCACGTAGTCCACCTGCTCCGGCATTGAGATCAGAAGCTCTTGGTCCTTCGTGAATGTTTCGAAGCTGTCGTAGAAGGCCCTCACCCATCGCACCTGATCATCATCAGGATGGTGAAAACAGCAGTGAATTGTCAAATAAAGCTTAAGAGTAAGGAAAGATGATTGGTAGTAGTAGAAAAGAGGGCATGAGGCCACTGCTACGAGGCATGCATGTACCTTTGGAGGAGCTTCTTGGAGTAGAATCCTTGCCCTGGTGATGATGCCGAACTGGCCAAGACCACCAAGAACTGCGAAGAAGAGATCCGGGCTCTTGGTGCGTGAGCATGTCACGACCTCCCCATTCCCTGCAGCCACCATATCAAGATTCAAGAGCATGAAGAAAGGGTAAACTACTGCAGAATTTACGGGTTCAGTGCTTTATTCTTTTCTTGCAGATCAAACAGAGAAAGGATTTATGAGGAAAAAAAATTGACAGTAGGCTGCATGTGCGCGGTGGCCATTGAGTACTGCATACCTGTGACGACTTGGAGCTGCAGGACGTTGCTGATCTGCGGGCCATGCTTGAACGCCTGGCCGCTGATGCCGGCATTGGACAGCGTCCCGCCCACGGTGAGGTACAAGTAGTCCGTCCAGGACAGCGGCGCCAGGCCGGCCTTCAGGCACTCCTCCAGTACCTCCACCCACAGAGCGCCGGCGCCCACGTCCGCGTACGCGCGCGCGGTGGCCTCGCCGCCCGCCCGCGCCGCCACGACCACCGCCACGCTGCGTGGCAGGGAACGCGTCTCCACCACAATGCCGTCGCGCGCCTGCGCCTGGCCCTGGAGCGAGTGCCCCACGCCGCGCGCAGCCACGGTCGCTCTCGGGCGCGGCGGTGCGGACGACAGCGCGCCCAGGAGGAGCGCGATGTCGGCGGAGGACCCCGGCCGAAGGATCGCGAAGGGCGCGTCGGAGACGACGGCGCCGAAGTCGCGCGCCGAGGACGGGGTCGGCTCGAGGAGCGCCACCGGGCCGAACACGTCGGTGGGGCTCTGGATGAAGGTCGCCGCGGAGCAGAGGAGCAGGGCTAGGACGGCGGCGTACATGTACAGCGCCCTGAGGTCCATGGTTTCTCGCGCTTGGACAAGTTACAGGACCTAATGGCGCTCCTTGCTGGACGAGGCCGATGGAAGTAGCAGGCAGGTAGCTGAAGGCGTCGTCGCTCGCGCGAGCTGTTTAGTGATTGCTGCCTCGGTCGGGACGTCTCTGTCTGGATGGATCCTTGGGTTCCCACAAGAACTGTGGATCGATGGGAGGGAGGGAGAAGGAGCGAGGCGAGACAGCTCGCGGATATATACAAGCGGGGAGGAGAGGAATGGGTCTCTGTCGTCGGTCGTAAGCGGTGCCGTGACGCGGTCGGGCCCTCAGAGAGAATCTAATGGAAACCCGGAATGGGGTACGGCGGATCCACGAGGGCCCAGACCTGCCTCCCTCCGTCGAGAAAAAGGGTTTCCCCCGCTTTGTATTACAAAGCAACCATCCGATACAATTCACGATAGGTGCTGGGGGGGAAGCAGCACAAGCACGCCCAAAAGAAAAGAAAAAGAAAAAGAAAAAGAAACAAATGCCGACGATGGCAGGTTGACGAAACAAAGATGGCCAATGACCGCTGCACCCACCGGAGAAGTACCACCGCGCTTCTAGCACTCCGAGGCGTCGCGTACCGAGCAGCACCTTCAGGAAGGAATGCGACGACGACGACGTTGCTGCCCAGGCAAGTCCAAGGGTTTCCCCCGGTACGCAGAGGGCAGTGGGGAAGGGGCAGATCCGACGCCCTTCAGGAAGGTCCGGCGGCGCCCACAGGCGTCACCACGTCGGTGATGGACAAGCCACCAGGGATTTCTCCCAACCCAAACAACCACCACCACCCCGGACGATCGGAAGCGCTCCACCAGAACTGCCGCCCACCAACATGTGCTACCACAGTCACTAAACCATCAACGCCGTCTCGCTGAGCCACCGACACGAGACCTGGAGGAGGGACGAGGGGCCAACGGGTTCGGGGGAAGCCGCAACTCAGTCGATGGGAGGGGACTACCACCACCGCCGACGCGGAGCCGACCGGACATGATGACAGGAGGTTACCAGGCCCGCACAGGCCCGGCCGGACCCCAGAGATCCAGACAACCCCTGCCGCCACGCTGCAGCACCTCGGCCGACGAAGCCGCCACCACCCGCATCCCTCGACGCCGCGCCACCATCGCCAGGGAGCCACGCCGCCGCACGCCGGAACGCCGGCCCGCCCCAACCCAGCTGGAGCCCAGAAGAGCCCAGATCTGGGCGGAGCGAAGGCCGGCGGCTAGCCGCACCGCCGCGCGCCCCGCGGCCAACGGCCACGCCACCGCATCAGACATGCCCGCGCCCCGCAGACCCCGCCACCAGGACGCACCATCGCCAGCCGAGGAACACCTCCGCCAACCACCATCGCCCGAGCAGAGGAGGCCGCGCGTGGGGACAGGCAGGCCCGCCGCCGCCGGCACCACGCGGGCAAGGCCCGGCGGCGCGCTGGCGGCGGCAGGGGGGAGGAGCTTGGGAGCGCGCGGGAGGGGAACGGCGTCGGGGCCCCCCGGTCGCCTCGCCCGGGGAGGCGACGCGGGGGGTACAGGGATGGGAGGAGGAGGAGGGAGGAGCGGGGGAGCAGGAGAAGCGAGCGGCGACGGCGGGCTTCGGCCGCGGCGGCGGCTCCGCGCGGGGGAGCCGGCGGCGGCGGCGCGGAAACCCTAGGCGAGGGGAGGGAGCCTAGGCGGAGCGAAGGGGATTTTTTCGCTCGAGATCATTTCACCTGCCTCCCTCTGTCCGCTCCACACTTCCACTGATCGACCGCATTTTTCCCGAGACGATCAACTACTAAACCTTGGGAAAGAAAGCAACTTAGGTCAACTCCAACGCACAACCTCAAATGGTCCGTCCGTGTCTGTTTAGATATAAATGGATAGAACAAATGGTCTAACGCGAGGGAGCAAACGGACCAATGTTCTTTTTTATCCATTTTTGATTCATTCTCGGCCCAATTTTGGGATGCATTTATGGCCGAACGGACACGCATCCTAGTCCTCCTTAACCCATCCGTCGGGGACACAGTCATTTTCCTCTTCCCTTGCCTTTCCCTCCGCCCTCACCCCGCCATCACCGCCGCCACCCTCATTCCCGGCCGCGTCGCCTTCCATCAAGGCCATCCGCCCCCACAACCACATCATGCCATAGCCGGCCCACGCCCGCGTTTCCGAAGAGCTTTTTCCCGTCGTTCGTGGTTCCTTGCTGCCGGTGGGAGAGAATCTACGGCCGCCGGCGCTGACCCGTACAACTTTCGGCAAGCGCTGCATTGCCGCAGGGCGCCCACCCACCAATACCAACCTTGCTTCGCTTTCTCGGCTCGCTCTTTCCGGCCCGTCTCCACCACGAACGCAATGTGTGCGACGCTTTACTCACAAGGTACCATGTATAGCAGGGGGTGAGTATTTCTATCACAACTTCATTTGGTCATCGGAGGATCCATCCTCGGATGATGAAGAGTTTGTGGTGGCTGCATTGGTCGTCCAGGACCACATTAGTAGGAATCAGCCTTGGTTCAGGTAATCAATCCCCTTCCATGCTCCGGCCTTGAACCGCAATAGGGATAAAGGTCACGCCCTTCTCTATGTTGATTACTTTGAGAATAGCGCACTCTCAAACCACACAAACTTTGTTGCTGGTTCCGAATGAGGAGACATGTGTTCAGTCGTTTTCGGGAGAGAGTGGTAGCATATGACGCATACTTTGAGTGCAAAGAGGATGCCCTTGGCAATCTTGGCTTCTCTTCTTATCAGAAATGTACTGCGGCTATTCGCATGCTTGCATATAGAATTCCTGATGATCTTGTGATGAGTATGTGTGAATGAGTGAGTCCACATGTCTCCTCTCAATGCATTGTTTCTGCAAGGCCGTGGTGGCAGTGTTCGACCCTGAGTACCTGAGAGAGCCAACTGTCGTTGATACAAAGAGGTTGTTGGCGATCAATGCCTATTGGGGATTTCCGTGCATTGCTTGGTAGTATAGATTAGATTATATGCACTGGAAGTGGAAGAACTGTCCATTTGCTTGGCAGAGGCAGTACAAGGGGCATGTCAAAGGGGCCACTGTCATACTTGAAGTGGTGGCTTCACAAGATCTGATATGTCATTTTTTTCTTTGGCATGGCTAGTTCTCACAATGATATCATTGTTCTTCAGCGTTCTCCTGTGTTTGTAAGGCTTGCAGAAGGCCACTCTCCGGAGGTCAATTATGAGATCAATGGTCATCATTACAACAAGAGATATTACCTAACTGATGGTATCTATCCTCGATGGTCCACTATTGTGAAGATCATACACAATCCGTAAGGAGGGAAGAGACAGAGGTTTGCCCAAATGCAGAAGAATGCTAGAAAAGATGTGGAGCATGCTTTCGGTGTGCTTCTGTCTCGATAGGGTATCATTCGAAACCCTGCATTGGCATGAAGAAGTTTTGGGAGGTGATGATTGCTTGTGTGCTCATGCATAACATGATCGTGCAGGATGAGCATGGTGATAGCATCTACGACCAAAGGTTTATTTTTCAGGGTGAAAATGTTGATCCTGAGCAGCCATCTTGTGCAACCTTTGAACAGTTTGTTCCTTTTTATCGTGAAATGTGTGATTTGCATATTCATGTCCAGCTCCAGGATGACTTGGTTGAACACATGTGTATTCACATTGGCACCTAGTGGATCTATCGGTTTAATCTCTTCTCATGCAAATAAAATTCGATTTTGTTCATAAGACTATTTGATATTGTTTCTATTTCATTTGGATTGTAAGACTACTTGGATATGGAACTATTTGCTACGTTTGATTTGAATGATTTGCCATGCATCATTTCAGTATGTTTGTTGATCTCAAACTGGCGAAATGCGACCGAAAGATGGTTGTATGTTGGACGCGTAATCAAGACATCCATAAATTCGGACAGATGCGGTCCTATTACCATCCGCAAACGGACGAAAAACGGATAAAACATCCGTTTGGCGGCCTTACATCGTGAAGAAATTATAAGAGCAGCTCGACCCAGTGGCGGACCCACCATTGGGGCGAGCTGGGGCGGCCGCCCCGGGTCGCCGGTGGCGAAAAATCGAACCCCCCTTACATATCCTTCCTCCTTGTTTCCTCCGGTGAGCGATTCATGGTGGCGACGGCGTTGGCGTTGTTCTCTGTATACACGCGCATGACTCTATCGAAGGGGTACATGAGCAGTTTGAGGGAGGAAGAGATTTGGACTGGAATGCCCAAATGCCCAATCGCCAGTGTTGGACGTCCCCGCCGTTCCATCGCCACTCCGTGCGGTACCGCCGCGACGCCACCCACCGCTGCTCCGTGCTGCCGGCTCCATGCTGATGTTGTCTCCTGTCTCGGTGTTTGCCACCTGCAGTGATGGATTCTAAAATTTCTGATGAAGAGGCAACTTGGCTAGCTGCGGCAGAAGCTGAAGCGACCACATGATTCCAAGAACAACGATCACCAGCATGTATCCTCTTCAGTTCTTCTAGTCTCCTTTGAAATATTCAGTACTGGATATGTTAGTTGGATAGGAACAGTAGACTCGCAGCAGGATACTGAATTTTTTACATGTTAAAAAAATCTTTGGATTGCACACGATGTGTTAGTTTACTAGTGTTTAAGACATGTTTTATACTTTTGTTGTTGAATATTATAAGTTTTGGTTGAATAGAGTTGCATTTGTACCAAAAAAAAATTAGATCGTAAATGTTCACCCCGGCTAACTTTAATTCCTGGGTCCGCCACTGGCTCGACCCATGTCTTGAAAAGAGACCTCGTATATTCTAGTATAAAACTGCAGAAACCCATGTACAGGCTGTACGTTTTGTATTAAAAAGATCTTTACAGTTCCCGCAAAAAGAAAATCTGTACAGTATGTAGTGCTTGCCTGCCACCGTGCCACGGCACGTAGCGGTCAGTCGTGTCCTCGACGGGGGCTACGAGAGCACCGATCCATCTCCAGTGGTCACTGTGGCTGACGCTTAGACGGCATTACTACTTGCCAGCGACCGTTTTGA